GCTTTGAAATAACCAGTATTCCATAGCCAAAATATTGGCGTTGTCTGAGTAAAAGCGTTTTCGTGATCGACTTCACTCAGTCTTGCGCCCAAAATTATCGAATCAGAACAATTGCTGTATTAAAACTTTTATAATTAAGCAGTTTTAAAGAATTAAATTTTTTGGGTGCTTCCGGCAGATAGTTGGACGGAATGAGTCAGGAGATTTTGTATCTGTACCCCGCAGGTACTGCAATGCCGCGGAGTTACGCCGGGCGTAAAGCGTTTTATGGACCTGTAGAAGTAGACGGACGGCACGAGTATGCTGTGTAAATCTAGAAAAATATTGTGAACTGTCCCTTGTTTCTTAGAGGCCAGAGAACCATTTTAAGTAAGTCATGACTTAGCGGCATTGTAGCATGGACGCAAAGCCATGTCGCTTGTTGAATTGAACACAATGACTCGTTTGAAGTACTAACCAAAACCAATTGCCAGTGCCAGTCATTAGTCTGACTGCATTGGTTTGCATTCCTTGCAGTTTCCCTCATTTTAGAATCGATAAGACATGTTGAAATCGACGAACATCGGAACCGCCTTCAGTTCAGACAAAGAATTTATTCCAAAAATTTTACGGAATGTCAACTGTCTTCTAGTGTTCAAACCGCCAGACCATTACGAACAATGATGACAGAATACAAGGGAAAAGCTGCTATCACCGAATAAACTACTCGAAAGCAAACAAGCCTCAAAAGAAAACACGGCAGCGCCGTTTCACCAAATTTCCACCAAACACGACGTCGATTTTAACAACCCAGCCATAGTAAAAATGGTTAGTAGCAAATGGCGCTTAGCTGCCGAAACACAAGCAAGACGAATCGTCTTGAAAGAGTTTATACCTTTCCGTCATGGCGAAACTTCCGACAAAGAAAAGGCAGCTATGATAACATCTTGACAATCTAGGTGTAATACCGTACCGCTGTATATTGTTTGCGGTTGCTAAAGAATAATGACACATGTCGAAACTTCGTTCCTGCACCAGAACGTTTTAATAAGTGTCAGTGACTATATATTGTTAATAAATTCAGTTTGACCGCTGGT